GAGTTTCATAGAGGTCTATAGGACAATTTGATTTCCTCTCTATGAAAGATATAAAGGAAAATTATGCAGAAAGACTCTGGATGACAGTAATTTTGTTTGGTGTTGTAGCTCTTGAGTTTTACCATTAATTCCTTATGCTGTATATTACAATTCATTCAAATGATGGTTAATAAGCTTTAAATTACTATTTCTGAAACAAGGGACAAAGAATACTTGACAGGTTTTACTGAGGATATAACTCTGGGGTAAGACTGTGGTTCACATGGATTATGTGCTCCGTGTGGTGCCAGCACTGCCTCTAATGTCTGCCAGCTATCGTCCCCTGAGTCTTACACCCTATTTCCTTGTAGTGGATCAGCTACCACATTCACACTGCATGAAATCTCCCGAGTTACTTGGTTGGCTGCACGAACTCAGTTGAAGTCTGTAGCATATAGAAAGACCAACCCTATAATCCTAATGATCCCATTTTGTCTTGAAACGTGCAATGACTTGGTGAAGGAATAAAACATATCAGGCATCAAAGTTAGACACGTTTCTTAAATAAAGGATGGGTTGTCATTTGATGGTTTTAAAAGCTAAAGCAGAATAACCTCCCAGAGGGATAGCTAGGCTCTCTCACATTTCTGTGATTTCTGTTTCCAGGTGTTGTCATAGTTTGGATTTCATAATTTACCCCAGAACCCAGAGTGTAAATATCAGTCAATATAATGAGATGAAGGCAAGAAAGAGCAGGCAGCACATGCCATGTGCCTGTGGGTTCGTATCCAAATTCATGTCTGCCAAACCTGCCTCGACTCAAGTACAACACAAAAGGTGCCTGTGTGGCTTAGAAGTCCTAAATGATTGCAGCTGGTCTGTCCTGCTAAGGAAAAAGGCAGGTGGCTTCTCTTTACGTAAAATACTTTTCCTGAAGACAAAATGCAACAATAGTTGGCAGATTTCACCGAAGTAAAAGAAAAGGTTCAGTGATGCCTAAATAGATGGAAGTGAGTGTTGCTCGCGCAGCAATCATTAATTCTGAAGTCTGGCTGGCCTCCAAACCTCTGTCAAGAAGAGAAGATTATAGAAAAGCTCAAAAACCAGGAGGGCTACAAAGCAGATGGGTACAGCACAAGTTTAGGAAGGAGAGCCAAAGGAAAGGGTTATGTGGACTATGGCATGGATTTCAGTGTCTGGAGAGAAGAGTAAAAGCAGGAACGTTTCTGAAGAATAAATGACAGTCAGACACTTTGTAAATACAACTACAATTACTTAATTGTCATTTGCAAGTTTGAAAAATTCCTAATGCTTTCAATTTGCCTTATTCATTAGAAAAGGGTGAGAGAAACAGTAATAGGGAAAATTAATGGAATAAATAATGTTTGGTACCAAAACTGGATGGAAAGAGGCAACAAAAGATGTAACTATTCTCTGAGCCCGAGCTCTAATGAGCAGCCTTTCCCTAAAGCTGTTGGAAGCGGATGGGCTCCCACAGCTGCATCCTGCTGGCTTGCACGAGAGAGATGCAAGGAACAGTCACCAGAGTTCCCAGGGAAGAATTGTCACCATGAGGGATTCCCTGGAGCACAAGAACCCAAAACCCAAGGGTTAGAACACAGATCTGAGAGGGGAAAATGGGAAACTCAGTGCTTGACAAGACAGAAGCAGCAAGGAGGACAAAGGTGTTCAAATTTGGGAGGTGGAGACAAGAAAATGAGACAGCTGCAGCAGAATCACCTGGCCTCTGACTTGCTATCAGACCAAGATCTGCTGGCCAGTGTTTGGAAATCCATTGGAGTTTTCATTTGGAAACCCATGTCAATCAAGCACTTTGTTTTGGAAACACAGGGGACCTCAGAACCCGTGTAGCAAAACGCTCTGCACAGAGCAGCATCAGGGTTCCCATGGAAACCTGCTGAAACTCTCCTTTGACAGGAAAAGATATTTTGCAATTTAAAAATAGGGTCAACTTCAACTTTGCAACACAGAGAGCCTGGGGCAACCTGGTTCCCTTTGAGCAAACCTGGCCCTGCAGCATAACCACTGCCCACTGCCAGACAGCTTTTCTTGTTGCCTTCCTGCTCCAGGGAGATGGACAAGATGTTCTTAGACAAGCAGGCTGGAAGATCCCAGCTCAAAATCCAGCTTCCTCAGCTCTTGTTTTCAAACCAGGTTGCTGATAACTATGACTTCCAGCACACTGAAAAGAGCATCCACTTTCCAGTCTTCAGACAGCACTACTTTTAGAGACCACAGTCTGACTACAACAGCACGGTGCTTTGGGCCCACGTCTTGCCAGCGGTTTGTGCAAGGGGAAGAAGGAGATTAACAGGGCTGTGGCAGGTAGAGGGGTTTCTTTAGGGATGTGTTCAACATGGCCCTGCTCTTCGGACAGATGGAAGGGGGCTTATCTAGACTAGGAGAAACTCATTTTACAATCGTGCTGATACAAATTATTTCACTATTCCTAATCTATGCAGGATCTAGGCTATTAGGGAAAATTAAAACCTAAACACATTTCCAGTCATAGCTCAAGCTACTTGGCTTTAGTAGAAAAGATATTTAATTTCCTGGTTTAAATTTCATCATCTTTCCCCCCTACAAGCTTAGAATAGTCAATCATCAGAAATACTACATGCTTTTTAATTATGGTGATGAAAAAAATCTTTTTGCTTCTCAACAATGGCGTGAGATAATTTTGTTAATTTTGATAACAGTTTCCGACTGACTTGGAATCTTCATTATAGGGCTGAGGCAACTGACTGCAATTTACTTTCTAAGGATCATTATTGTGTCAATTTGAGCCAATTCAGCTGTTGTTTGAAATGCATAGCATACGTGTCATTTAATACTTTATTTTAAATTGTCTTTCTTTTTATTATCCATCAAACTGTTTTTCTTGTTTAAGCACTAAACATACTTACAAAATTTAAGATTCTGTCCTGAATATATTTTTAATTTTGTGTTCAGTTATAAATTGTCATAATGAATCTAGAATTAAAAAATATTTTTCAGAAAGAGGCAGCTTTCTAAATAAAATAATCTGCCCATAGACTCCCTATGAAACATGTTCTCTTATTTCCTTGTAATATTAGTCTTGAAGAGGGAATTCAAATGTTCTTATGATAAAATATAGCAAATCTACAGTGACAACTAAGTGGTGATTTCCTTTAAAATCCTTTCTAGCTAATTTGATTTTAGAAGACTCTCAAGCACATTTCCAGTTTTAAATATCTTAATGTATCACCGCCACTCCAAATGTGTCTGTGAATAGACAGTAGGATTCAAACAGAAACAAAACAGACGGATCCACATAGTATTCCCATCTCTGGCACCACATATAGAGGGGTCTCCTGATGCCTTGGTTGCCCCATCAGTAAAGTAATCCATGATGGTAGTGGTCTTTGAAATCTTTGATTGAAAGACTATCTACAAAGAGAGAGAGTTTGAAAACAGCCATTTTTAATTCTTTTTAGCTCTTTACTTAATATCTAGGTTGAGACCTAGAATTTGCGGTGAAACAGACTGAGATCTTAATGACTGACTCACATGGGCTCACCATGTACTGCCTACAGATACATTTGGGTGTTCCAGAAGGACATACTGTTTTTAATTTCTTTTGCTTCATTTTCAAAAACACAGGTGGCATTTATAGGTATGTATAAATATATGCATCCACACACCATCTATATCTGTAAAGTCTCAATTATTCAACATTTGCCACACTGTTGTACCAAAATAGTAGGAGATACTACAGTTACTGCAGGCTCCTCAATTTTGAATGTAGCATTCTTAAGGCAACCACTGCTCCCACAGCAAAGTATGTGATCTGACACGAAATACACACATTTATACACACAAGCATACAAAGAATACTGTCTCTCAACATCAAAGAGACTGTAACTGGTAAGTAAAATGAAACTATTCTAGCTTACATAGATAACAAGCACTGTAGAACAGGTTTCAGTACAATACCTAACTATGCAGTCACAACAGAAAGCTAGAAATGAGTAAGGAGTATCTCTGGCATCCCATTGTAGATCAAGACAACTAAAACCCTGTTTCCAGACTTTTATTCCACTATAATTCATCATGCAATGTCTTAAAATAAACAAAGTACAACACAGCATCCTAAGGCTCCCATTAATCATCAGTACCCATGTTGAGATTACCTACAGATTTACAAACAATACCTTCAGGAATACATCACCATGCTCCACGAACTGAAGAAGCAATAGTGGGTTACAGCAGGAGGAACATAGCCCAGAAGGGACGTAAGTGTTGACACATGATTTTCAGGGATTTTGTGCACAAGTTAATTTACATGTTGTTCTTTTTGCATCACATCCTATCAGAATTACGACGAGTAATTAATGAGATCGGCTAGAGTCTCTTTAAAGTTTCTCTGTCCAACAATACCTAAATTATTAATGCTTTGATGAGTTTCCCATCCAGTGCCTTAACTTCAAAACAGCAGTACAAAACAGAACTGAAAGACCTTTTTCGCATGGGGACCTAAAAAGATAATTCAGCTATCCCCCCACTTTTTTTTTTCCCTTTTTAAATAAATCCACTGTGATGCTTAAAGCCCACCTTTTAGATATCCTGTCATTTCATGCATAACATTTTTCACTCAGTGGTTTAAAGGCAAGCATGTATCTCTTTGTATACATGTATGTTTGTATGCAGAGAGGCAAAACTCATTAACAAGTGATGCTGAACTTTCAAATCCCTGAGAGACCAGTGTCAATAAAGAGTTCTAACAGGGGCAGCTTCTCTACAAAGCAGGCAGGTTCTCAGCACAGTCAGTTAAGCAGACGTGAATTTATTTCAGTGCATTCTAGCAGTATATCCTAAAGCATATTTTTAGCTTCAACATGCCAAATTTAAAACCTGGTTGTAACTCTCTCCCTTCCTCACTGGACAGCTGAGCACAATCAAACAGCTCCATGTGTATCCTCCCAGAGTATGTTTACATACACTCCCTCTCCCACAGCTCTACCTTTCCCAGCTCTTACCTCGATGGTGTACTGTTCAAAGATCCGAAGCTGAAGGAAAATGTCTAGCTTAATCTTCCTCTCATGGAAGAGCTCTTCCATCTGTACCTGGGCCTCGTCGAGCTGCTGAAGGACAGATTCAATGTGGCTGATGGAGCTATTGTGTGGAGTCTTATTGTTGGAAACGGCGGAGTCCCTGTAGCAAGGCAGAGAGCATGGTTAAAGCTGAGCTTTAAGGCAGGCAAAAGAGCAAGAACTACACATCTGTGATTCTGCGTGCTGCTGAGAAGCGAACCCAAGCACAAAGGGCTGAGGGAAGGTGTATGCAATGCTTGTCTCTTCTGCTAGCTGAAATGCTCCAGCTCCCGAGCTTAGCACAAAGTTTGAACAAGGGGATCATCCTTTCTTGTGTTGTGACATTGTGACCTTACACACTTGCAGGGGGGCAGGGGCAGAAGGACACATCAATCTCCATAGGCTCTCTTGACCTGCTCCAGCCTACGCCGGCACTGCCTCAGAGGCACCGAGCTCAGAGATGCTCTTTAGCCACCTGGATCTTTACAAGTTAATTTTGTGCATTTTCTATATTACTTACAGACTAACTGAATCAGAATTACTAGCATTTTAGATTAAGGGGATAGGGATGCCTTGATTCCCTCTGGATTACACAGTACAGCAACAGACACAGAATATAGCACAAAAAACTCTACTGAAGGAAAAGACGTTTAGAATACTCTAAGACAGACTTTGAGTTGTCCAGGGTATGTGTAATGAGACATGCCTGTGAGAGGTCAGCTACTGCTCCATCTGCACCCTTCATACACCGGCAGCAGGAAGGAGCAAGACCTTTAACTAGTTGGCGGGCTATGGCCAGGAGAACTTTGCTGTACCTGAAATAAGTCTTAGCATAGGACAGTCCTGACAGTTTCTTTTCTATCCATGCTCTCACATATATTAACAGGCTCACCTACAGTCTGTTACATCTTCAGTAAATGGTTTGCAGTGGGTGTTTAATGGATAAAGAGCCTTCGCAGACATAAAGAGCTGAAATTTATCCTCAAATGTGCTGCAAAAGGTCCTTCAACTTTAACATAACCAGAAAGGAAACTGAAGCTGTAATTTAATCTTGGTTTTGGTATTTCAGCTAAAACAATATATAGATGCAATGGTTTTCTCTGTTCATTCTGCCCAAAGGCGTGTGATAGCAGCTGCATTATCTGGCACACTCCTATCAAATACACCGTTGGAAAGACCTATGCACTGGCAGGATAACAGGATGAAGGGGGTAAGCCAGCAGGTTTTACCACTAATATTTCCTATCAGTCTCCAGTTTCACCTTGGAGAAGGGAGGAGATAATTACAAATCCAACAGCACATACTGGGCTACTGGTGTCCCAACAAATTCCCACGTGAGCAGGGAACTGGCTGACAATATTGGAAGACAAGCAAAATGTCAGGTAATGCTGCCAGGTCACCGTGCTCTCCTACAGGGACCAAACGCAGCCAGGGGCCATTCTTCTGGCCATCTAATATGGGCTGCTGAGTAGAGGTGTCCGCAGAGTCTCCCCACTGTGGAAGGGTGCTAATGCATTCCAAATCAGAGTTTTATTTCCCTTTTCTGGGTTAAATTTTCCCACCATAAGCATCTAGCAAAGCATTTGTAGTTTTCTACACCACTGAAATGCTTGTGCTTTGCTTTTTGCAAATTATCATCACGTAGGGTCAGATCAAAACAACGTACAGCCAACTTAAATGTTAATTGAACACTGTCACTGAGCATAATTGAGGGGAAAAAAAAGTATAATCTTTTACACATGCCTTAAATTGATACTAAGCACTAACACGAGTCATTTTAAGTAAGTTTAAAACACACCTTTGAGGTTTTAAGGCAACAAAACAGACTTTATTCTGTTTTCATTATGTCTTGAAGGAAGAGAACAAGCATTTGCCTGAACATCTGAAGCCTAAGAATAAATAAAAATACAGAATACTATTAACTGCATAATAACTTGTTCTTTGGATGTGCTTCACCTCTTTTTCCTCAAACCCTTTATGTTCGATACACTGAGCTTCAGATACTCCAGCATTATCCTGAAGGAAGTACAACCAACTTCCCTTGCTTGTAAGGGACTATTACACCAATATTACTCTCTCCAAGTGATATGGTTTCTGCCCCACTCCGTCAGTCTTGTGTTTTCACCTTCTTGGTGGCAACTAGCTCGCTCTCTACCTCCACATGAGCTGTACAGAGGAAGGATGAATGAAGATAACAAGGTGAGATTTTGAAACTACACTTAATCTGAGGCCACATTCAATCAAGTTCTGTTTCCTTCAGTCAGCACTTGTCTTCTATAAAAGGACATGAACTATGTCTTCATTCAAATACAGGATTATTACTATTCATATATTATCTAAATGACTCAATAAGTTATTCAAGACTGGGGTTGAATAATCTCTCATGGGATCTAAAGACACACTTGGTTTTAGAAATTCTGTCTCATTAAGCACTTCACTCTTCAAATGAAGCCACGCTTGCATTTCAGTGACTGATGCAATACAGAAATTGAAGCGTGATAATCTGGTATTCTTCCACTGTCTTTTCAGATAAGGCCTTGACAATCCCTATGTAGTCTGGTTTGAGAAAGATCATCTTCCAGAGAAATAAGTTTCTGACACTGGATGTTTCCAACACAAGATTTCTTGCTCTGTCTGGTGATGAGGAATTCTGGGAAAGAATTCATAAGAAATCCTTTCTAGTCTCTGAAAGGTTACAGGTTAGAGTTATGAAATGCAGGGAAATTATTTGGAAAAAAAGGGACAACAAAATAAAACTTTGGTCAACATAAAACTGTGTTTAGTTCATTGCTGTTGAGTTTGTTCAGAATGACCGCTGTGCTCCTGAAACCACTTTCAGTGCTTTAACAGGGAGAAAGCTTAGTGAAACATACCCATTATCAAAAGTCCCTATGCTGAACTACTGTGAAGAAGGCAAGATAGAGAACTCTTCAACGTCTTTTGTTTGCCCCTAACATTCCTGTCCTTTCACACCTCACTGGAGCAAGTCATTGTTTTGCCTTTCACAGATGTGCAGAAATATTGCCCCCAGCAGCACTCCTGCAATGCAGTTCAAACGACTGGCTTCGTGTTGACTGCTGAAAACTAGGATCACCTCAGTAAAACACTGATAAGCAAGAGTGAAAAAAGTACCTCCAACGCTAACCGTGACATGTACGCTGTTGCTAGCCAGACCTGTTTTATCCCTGAAATGTATGGTCTGCTGATGCAGGGTCACTGAAGGCCCTGACGACCTCCTGTGAAGAGCAGTCCCAGGCACTGTACTGAACCAGCTCAGGCAGCTGAGCCTTTCCTAAGCTATCTGGAGGAGACACAGAGTGCCATTACACAAATGATCAACTCGAAACCAATATCTGTTCTCTCAGAGATAAGGACAAGAAACGGAACATTTTCAAGGCCCCATTAATTTTATTGGTTTTAACCTGTGCTATGACATGCTTGACAAGAGTTTCATTCTCCTCATTGTTGTAGTGTTTGCAATCTTCAGCTATTCTTCATGGCAGGTACACTGTGAAATACAATGCTGTGTTAGGGAAGGATTGCAGCCATTCGATTTTCAACTCCTTTCCTTTATCTGTGTGCTCTTCACTTTTGCCAGCAGCCACAAAAGCTGTTGGAGAGGGCACACACAGAGGTGGCTTCATATTTTTCTTACACAGTTCTGTTCCACTTTTTGAAAGAGTCCAGGATCACATTACAGGCTTTGCAGTTAGTCAGAGGGCTCAAAACCAACACTTGAGCCAGAGATCATCTTGACAGTTCAGCTCTGCAAATCTTTGCGTGTGTTCAGGGCTTCTGTCCTTCAGACAACTGTTCTCCCTCTGTTTGGTCTTAACTTTATCAGAAGCAGGAGATCACTTTGCACAGATATGTTCACTCTGTTCCACCTTGCTCACTACACAGAATACAAGCCAGACCCCAAACCCTACATTGCTTTGTTAAATACAGCCACCAGAAAACCTGTCTCGTCATTTCACCAATAAACAGGCATGACACCACTTCAAAAAGAGGTCTCAAACCTGAGGCCACTCTTACTTTTCAAAGACTGAAACTAAGAACTGACTAAGTTTAGGTTAAAAAAAAGTTGCAGTTCCACAGGTCCTGACCCAGTTCAACTCTTCCTCTGCCACAACCTTCCAGGCCTTACAACAAGCCTTTCCCCAATAACTGCTATTCATACTGATGCTCCACTCATTTCTCAGCTCCAAATACTGTCCTGGTCACTCTCCAGCTCCACATGCTGCTTTCCTACTGACTCAGGGGCAGGAAAAAGCCTTTAGGCCAATCCCACAGGCCACACCAAGACTTCAATACACTTTCTGCAACACCCCATATTCCAGCTGATGGGCTTATACAGAATCCCTTTCAGGCTCCTCTTTGTGAGTTTTCAAACTGAAATGGTATTATGCCGATAGGTGGGATGAACAACAAAACACCCTTAGTCCAGAATTACACTGCCTTTTTTGTGATCTCATAGAAATTCCCTGAACTTTGTAAAGGTTTTCTTTGCATAAAGGGAAATTACCACGCAGACCTTTGACTGACCTGTTATTGCCGGACATACATACATTCTTATCTAAACTCCCCTCCTTCTGGCAGCTCACTTATAAACACAGCATGTTTCTTTCCTACTTATCTCATCAGCAAAGATGAATAGATGGATGGAGCTTAGCTATGTCTACTCCTCATCCTTGCTTTCCCACTCTGATCTCAGCAAGCAATACCACAGTTCAGGTCCCTCGCTCTCTGCCTGTGATGCAGGCAAGCCACAGACAGCAGGACGAAGAATTTACCCAGGCTCTCCTGTGTGGCTGCCTAGGGCTGAACGGCAATCAAAACCCAGAGAAGCCCTTTCAAATCTCTTTTTTTTTTTTCTCCCTGACCCAGTGGAGAAGACTCTGCATCCAGGATGATAGGAAGAAGTATAGAGAAAAGCTCAGCAGACGGCTGTAGTAGAAGTCTCAGGGAGTCCAGGGGGCTCTTACAGGTAGAGCTCCATCAAGGGACCTTTATTATCTCCTCTGCTCTAGAGCACCTCAGGCTTTTCCTGTTGTGGCTCATAGTTTTCTGCACCTCTCATGCAAGAGTTGAAGGCATCAGGTTAGGAAATCTCAGGGTGAGATGGGTGACATAACTCTCTGGGATAGTCTCTGATGAAACGCATAAGAACTGGCAGATTTTCATATTATATATGTATACAGAACATACACGCTATGGACATGTAGATCAGAAAAATCTGTAACAATACAAAGATCTAAAAGAGAAGCAATGTATTGGAATTGGTTTTGAGCTCAGTAACATAACTAAAAGGCAGGAAAACTCCACCATTGTCAACAATGTTAAAGCCACAGAAAACCACTGTAAATAAGAACAAATGAGAGATATCTCACAAGTACAAGTTTTGCGTAAGCTTACTCTGCAAACATTCGTTCTGCTACACTTACAGACTGAGAAAGCAAAAAACCTCAACTTCTTAGAGCCAGTCTCTTCATGTATTTTAAATCAGGCAAAATGAGCTGGTTTAATGCATAATGCAAGTAGAACTGGCAGTATAAGACCCCCTTTGACAGTATGAATAAACCCTGTATGGACAGAGATAAATAGAAGGGTGCTGTATGCAAAATGAAAGAGTGGAGATTGTTAGACACGTGTATATTTTATTAAGAGGAATACACTTCCACATCAGAAGTAACCATATAAATCACGAGGCCCTGGCTCACAACCATTTAACAATCTTCTATAAATACCAACGAAAAATATTCACCTGACACATTTGTTTCAATTCACTGTGCCTGTAAATAATCTCTCTGTCAAACAGGGACCCATGCTGATCCACACACTACTCTAATCAGTCCACACAAATCACTCCTTGCAATTTCAATAAAAGACTCAAAGAATTTGAGGAATCATTAGTAAGCAAAGAATTAATAAACTCTCCCAATTAATCCTAACTTCTAGCTCCCTATGTACGCACACCTAAACCTCAGCATAGTTTAGCTTTCTCAACACCTGTCCTCCAGGTGGACACTTACCTGAGCTGTTGGATTAGATCTTCCCCTTCTTTAATAACATTGAGGGTGGCATCCAAGGTGGCTGTTTGTTGCTGCTGAAACTGCTTGATAAGCTCCTGAACAGCATCCACAGAGTCAGCACAGACATCCTCTAAGAGCTCCTTTTGCAGATCTTCCATCCATGTCCACAGCTGGGAAAGAGGGGAGGGAAATATAAATCAGAGAGGGATTGAGACTTAACCCTTTTGCTCTCTAATTCCAGATCAGTAAGCATTAACTAGGGATGCATGTTTCACATGGAAACTGAACTCAAGTTTCTAAAAATGAAAAGATACACTGATTATTGATTCTGGTTGTTGCAATTCCATTTTAAGCAACAAAGTAAAATAAATATAATGCCAGGTAATTTTTTTCCAAAATTAATTTGCATTTCAGTTTATTATATGGCAACACCTAATTATATTATTCTGATTAACTCTTCACAGAAGTAACAAATTACAATGCCCTACAGCTGTGATAACCTAACCCTTTCAGGAGCTGTGTGCTATCAGCTGCTATTAATTTCACACGCAGCTGAAGCCTGTTGCAGAACAGACCTAAAATCTTTGGTATGTTTTTAAGGTAGTGGCTGAAGTCTAGCTGTGCCTGCTCAGCTATGCCTTCCCAAGCAGAATGTTTGGTGGAGGGGTTTTTGTTCTTTCTTTTTGCTTTAAGTTTTTTTGTGGGTTTCTGTCACTTACCCCCCCCTCCTCCTCAAAACACACCTCAGAGGATGCTTTTTAACTCTGGGAAAATCCAAACACAGGAGACATAAATATCACCCATCAATCTCATGCAGATCCATTCATTTTAAATAGTCTTGACTACCAATTTGAAAGGAACAACAAATCATTTGAGTAAGTGCTTAGATGAGAATTTCCAGCCAGCTGTTCATGCGAGATCTGGACAGGGCAGGCAAACCCCAGCAGCCTCTCTGGGCTGGAAAGGCTTAAAGCGAGTGCAGGATTCCCCTTTAAGCTCTCTCTGAAAAGTGAGTGTAAAATTGCACCAACTGAGCTGGCAGTCAGCCAGCAAATCCTAATGACTCCACCAGAGAGACTATTTTCTGTGCCATGCCTGCCCCATTAACCCACATTCTGCTGGTATGTTCTGCGCGGTAGCAGGGAAGTACAGGAGTGCCGCCAGTGCGATGGGAAGTGTCAAAGGACGTGGTGCTGGCGGGAGCAGGGCTGCACTCCTGCCTCCTGTTCCAGGGAGCTGCAAAGCAGTTTGTCTCAAAGGGAGCTAGAGGTACACACGGAGCAGACGACAGACATTGTGTGGGGGTGGCAATAGAGCTGGTAAAAACGTTCCTGTTCAGAATGAGACGCACTGGATCCCCATCCTACGGGATCTCTTCAGGGGTTCAGAATACTGCCTGTCCATGTAAAACAGGAGCAGGGGAGGGATGTCTTAGGCACCAGCTGGCAAAGCTTCTCACGATAAGGGTCCAAAGCTAAGGTCACTCATCAAACGTTACACAGTACCCAGCTACTGACTTCAAGGATATCACCCTGATCTAAACCAAAATAATCAAAATCAGAACCTGTCCCAGCCCCGCTAATGATAGCAGAAAAGGGAGAGCGCCCAGCTCCCTGTGCTCTGTCCCCACCTCCGCTACTGACCCCTTGTTTGACAGACTTCAAAACCAAGTTTTAAAACATATGCTTAACTTGAAGGCTTTTCATTTAGATTTTCAGAGTCAGCTTTGAATATTTTGGGTAAACGCCTCTGTTTATTCATAAACAGCATCATCATAATAAAGGCCTATCCTACTACTGGCCTGAAATGGAATGTCTTTGCTCAGGTTATTGACATATTTTCACGTTCTCAGGAGGAAGGCAGGATATAAAAAGGCAACTTCAATAAAAGAAACAAATATAATTAAGTAGTCAGACCTGTGAAATAAATGAAAGAATGAAAACAAAGAATCAAATAGGGAGCTTTTTCATTTGTGGCTTGAGGTCCAGGTACTGAACTTTGGGAAGCCACCATAAGGGAACATGCCTTTATATATTCTATATACTAATTACATTCAGAATCTTCCTGGGTTTGAACTGATCCCTGCACCCACTCAAACAGTAAGGACAGCTGGACTGTAACAGGGGAGGACCAAGTTGTTAGGGGATATTATTTCCTTGCTTATCAGATCTTCAAGGAATAGAGCACTTTGTAAATACAGAAGAGAAAAAATGGCCGTGTGTAGAAATCATCCATTTTGAGTTGGAAAAGCTAGTAGCTTTTTAATTTCTTGCTGTTCTGTGTAATATCTTCCACTTAAGATTAAAAAAAAAAAAAGCTCAGGGAATTTCCTTTACAAAAATGGATGTGAAGTTGAGAACTTGCTTCATGAGTAGGAATATGCTGTTTTCTTGAAATTAGCATGTTAAAAATGGCAGAGGAGAAAGCTTCCCCTGCCCACAACTTCAGAGGAAAACCCTGTTTTCAAAAGTGTCTCCAGAACCCAAATTTGAGCAGCAGCCAAAAGGATATGACCATTTAAGATCCTAGGTCACTTTTTGAGTACGCTTCTAAATCAAAGAAGTTTTGAAATACTTAAACATAAACTGTACTGTTCTCACCTGGAGCCAAAACACTCATTAATTTCAGAGCGCACTCAGCTATATTAACTCATATTAGCTTCAGATATTTCCATTAATGACCCCTGATTGTAAGGATTCACATAATAAAATCTATCAGAATCTAGGTCATCCTTGACTCAGAGGCCTTTAATCCTTTAGACTCCACCAATCCCTGGGAAATCCTAACACAAAGAATCAGTCAATATTAATAAGATTAGGAAGATCTTTCAGGAACAATTTACAATAGGGACCTGATTCAAACACCTCCTAGGTTATGTGCTACAACTAAAAGCACCTGAAATAAGTTACTACCAAGCCTCACGTGTGAATACCACACCAACGAAAAGATGAACTCCATGTCACTGCAACAGCAGAGCCAGAAGAGCTGTTAATCATAAAATAGAAATCACATTCTGTCACAGCTCAGGAAAATCAGTCCCTGTTAGGGCTTGATGTTGAATTCCAATGCAACTATTCAACTGATTTTAAAAAATCCTGACTATTAAAGCCTCAAATCACCAGACTCCTTGAGCACTTCCTAATTCACGCCGTGACCTACTCTGAACAGCTAGCTAGCTCAGACTGAGTGACTTGTTCCAGTTTCTCAGTGAAATCTGACACATTACACAGGACAACATGTATCTCATTTGCAGAAACTGACTCTCTGCTTGCATTCTTAGCACCAGCAAAATTTGTGAGCACCTATTCCTTTCACAGACGTACTCCAAACCACTGCTCATGTACCACTTGTCCTGTACACGGGGTGTGTGTAGATGCGCGCAGACATTTCAAACACTAACACGGTATTTCCACCTCCAGCTATGGTGACTTAGACTAAGCTTGCCAGTGATGCACGTGACCAGAAAAGGAGATAATCTCTGCACTGTATCACTTAGCATGTACTAAACCAAAGATACAGAATCCTGGAAAACAATGAAGAAATAACACAAAAATATTTTTTGTGCTTCCTTCAAATTGATCTATGCTTTGGTATGATTAATGGGAATACTAATGCATTAGTGGTAAAACCTGAATTAAGTCCATCAGAGATATCCAGCCACAAATCTGACTCATGCAAGCTACATCTAAAAACACAACAGTTGTCAGCTACACAGAAGCCTAAGGCAAATACCTAGCCCTAAAACATCCATGCTGAAGGTCCACAGTGGCTGCTATGGAAGTGAAGCTTTATTTATCAAGGTAACCATGGCTTTAAACAAGAACAACAATCCTCTCTGATTACTATACCTGTGGAAAAAGAAGAATGACTCCCACCCCTCCACTCCCTTCTTTTTGGGGGAGCATCTGGCACCTCTTATGCACTGTAACAACTTCTGCATTGTTCATGGATATAAAACAGAGGCAGTTCCCCTCCATCCAAGAGACAATACAGCTCTTTATTCCCATCTATTTCATCTGATGCAATACCCTTCATTTTACTCAAGTACTTAATGAGACCACTTACTGGAGGTTTGAAGGACATGTGTGCCTGTTACCTACAAATTAATGCTTCTGACTTAGAGCAAGGGACCACTTTAAACAAAATCTAAAACCTAAAAGAGATTGCTAAGAAAATCTTGCCTGCGTGTTTGGAATAACTATTAAACACCAGTCTAAAAACACGAGGAATGAGACCAGTGAAAAGCAAAGAACCAGTCACTCCAACCCATGCAAATTACCATAGTACAACATTTTTGCCAGTCATTCACAAAAAAAGGATGTTAATGGAAACAAGTAACTTTCCAGGGTATATGTTCTACCCCTTTGCTATATCAGAGAAGTATCATGTGTTGCAGAGCAGGCCCCTGCTCTGCAGGGGATGCTCATGCCAACACACTAAAGTGAACACCCATCACAGCAATGGAGGCTAGAGCAGAATGCAGCAGAATTCACTGAGATATGGGGATCCTCTTTTCCTGCCTGATTAGCACTGCTTCCACCTGTTGTAATGTAAGTGTGCAGAGAACCAAGGGCAGATGGAAAAAAACCCAAATAGAAACAGAATTGCTCTAGAGACAAACATCATAGCATCACAGAATGGTTTGGGTTGGAAGGGACCTTAAAGCCCATCTAGTCCCACCCCCCCTGCCATGGGCAGGGACACCTTCCACTAGACCAGGTTGCTCCAAGCCTCATCCAGCCTGGCCTTGAACACTTCCAGGGATGGGGCATCCACAGCTTCTCTGGGCAACCTGTGCCAGTGCCTCACCACCCTCTCCAGGAAGAACTTCTTCCTGATATCTAATCTAAACCTCCCCACTTTCAGTTTAAACCTGTTACCCCTTGTCCTGTCACTACAGGCCCTTGTAAAAAGTCCCCCCCAGCTTCCTTGTAGCCCCTTCAGGTACTGGAAGGTGCTATAAGGTCTCCCCGGAGCCTTCTCTTCTCCAGGCTGAAGAAGACCAATTCTCTCAGCCTTTCATCATAGGAGAGGTGCTCCAGCCCTCTGATCATCTTCGTGGCCTGCCGTCAACCCTGTTTTCCCCTGCTACTATGCCAGGCATGTAGAAATCTACTGTGAGCAGTAACAGATAGCTTTTTCATAATCTGCATTAGGAAGTCACATAGCC